AGAGAGAGAGAGAGAGAGAGAGAGAGAGAGAGAGAGAGAGAGAGAGAGAGAGAGAGAGAGAGAGAGAGAGAGAGAGAGCTCCTATCAAAGAAGATGGCAACTTGTTCAAGGACCAATTTGAAAGCAAAATCACCGCACTTCCGGGAAGAAGACGAAAACGTTTCAGATTAGCTGAAACACTGATGAGTGTGAATGATGCATGGTAAAGAGAGAGAGAGAGAGAGAGAGAGAGAGAGAGAGAGAGAGAGAGAGAGAGAGAGAGAGAGAGAGAGTCCTTCCATCGGTAGGATGAGCAAAATCGAATGACTCTACCGCTAGAACATGGAAATATATGCTGTTTTTGTTTCTGGTCTGTGTGCGAAAACTTAGCAACTGCTGGGGCATTTGGCAAAGTTGGGCAGCATCCGGGAGGGGCACATCCGAAAGGCAGCGTCCAAACCCAACAACACAGTCCTGGTGAAGCTCTTGTGCAGAGCTGCTGATAGCAGCAGTGCTATATCCAACTTCGTGTCCCAGCCCCAGCTATGGCTGGGCTTCGAGGAAGAAGATGCCCTCGCCCAAAATTAACGCAGCAGCGCTACGGCAACGATTGGGCTGAGTTTCCCCAGCCGAGCAAACGAAAAAAAGACCCGACCCAAATTTCCTGCCCGCTACTTCTACCCTCCCCCTAGACCTACCATGGACTCCCCAAGCAACAACCCAAGACTCACCTGTATCTAGATGGGAACAGGGGAAAAGGGGACCTTGACCTATGACAAAGCAAAGGGAATAGGCCGAATGGCCTAGGACTACCAAAACAGAGACTACTAGTAACTGACTCAGGGATAAAGTCCCATACAGCTCAACACTCACAAACAAGAAGCACAGATCACAGGTCACGGGATCAAATCCCACAAGACTCAAAATAGGCAAACAGCAAAGAAACAGGCAACACAGCAGGCAAAGGTTGCGGACCTGTTTCTGCATATTCAAAAAAAAAGTATTTGCCACCTCCCATTTCTCATCCTTTTGTTTTTTCTTCCTACTTTTCTCTTTTTGACTTGTTGCAGTAAGAAGAAGAAGACTTTAGCACAACCTTAGATGATATAGACAGTCAAAAGCATTTGAAAAGGGCTTCAAAACACTTGTCATCTCCGGTCCGGCATCCGCCATTCTGTTTTTCCCTTTTTTGCTATCTTGCTCATCCTTTCTATTCTCTTCTGCATTTCTCGTCCTTTTTTTTTTTTTTTTTCCCGCATTTCTTGTCCTTCTCTTGTGTTTTCCACATTTCTCGTCCTTCTGTTGTATTTTCTACATTTCTCATCCTTCGCTCTTTCTTTCCACATATCGTTTGTTCTCCTAGTAACATGAAGACGATTCACTTTTAAGCTTTAACAAAATTCCTTGACAATGAAAACAGTCAAGTTCATTGAAAAAGGGTTAACGTTGAGAAGCGAAAGTTTCTTATCATGAGTGTCTCACCTTTGGGATCCTCCCAAACGAGCTGGAACTCCAGGTCAGCTGTAAAACTGTACTGAATTTCTATTACAATACCATACAAAAGGCCAACCCAAAGGAAATTCGACTCAAAGTCAGAATGACATCCAAAGGGCATTGAAAATGAAAGAAAAAGGAGAAAACGAAGAAGTACCGATCCTCCAATTTTAGAATGTTGTCAAGAATTCTTTTCGTTTAAAACACCACTGGTCCACTACCTCTGGGCCTCTCTTTGAGAAGGCAGAAAAGAACTTCGTCCCGAGTTTTGCCAAATTGATTTGAATTTTGAATGGCACTTCTTTTTTCTTGTTGATGGTGCCGCCAGCCATTTGGGTCCGGTAGCCCCGAACCTCCAAAGAACCCGGAATGTTACATTTTCGATTCTCAACTTTGCCTGGGAAAGGTAAAGGTGGTTTAACTGGCCCAGTGTCAAGGCCTTGATTATCAAAGTGAAATACAGTATTACCCAGCTTTGGCTTGAGGATGTGGAATGAACTAAGCACCCACAAGACCCTTTCAATGGAACAAGCAAGGACCAGAAGTACAATGAAGCAAGGCCACAGAGACACCCAATGGACCAAGCAAGGTACAAACGTATAACTGAGAAAGGCAACAGAGACAACACATGACTGGGGGCTGCCCATACCACCCGCAACAGTTAGCCAGGCAGCTTTTTTCTATATCGATACCTATGTCTATATGTGTATATCTCTATCTCTATCCTCCCCAAAACTAAAGCAGTCCTCAACTGATGCCCCTCCCGCGCCCGATGAAAATCCGTGACGGGGCCCGGGAATTGTGTGGGACCGGGTGCTGCAGTGGAGGGCCCCCTCCCTTATTTTCTTTGGGTCATTTTGCCTTGCGCCGTGCATAGTTTCTTTTCGGCTGTTTTGCCTTGCGCCGTGCATAGTTTCGTTTCGGCGTGCTCACCCGGTCGCTGTCAGTACCGCTTCCGCATGCTCGCCTCTTCAGATGTTTGAATACAAGCTCATAGCGACTCGGGTTCGAAGCAGCTGTGAGACCTCTCCAGACTCGAATACAGCTTTTTTTACTTTTGCCGTTTTTGGATCACCTTATGTGCAAAATGAGAATGAGTCTCCTGCTAGAACATGGGAAGATGCACCACTGTTTGGGCCTCGTTCCACGCCACTTGAAATGTAAGGATTTTAGGGGAAGCATTGTCCCTCTGCGCCCTAATGACGACGAAATGGAAGTCCCCAAAGTTTCCACATTTCTGGTGTGTAGGGTCCGTCCTTAAAAGTTAAGTGCCGCCCAGCCATTTCTTCCAACATCTCAAGGGTGCGTACAGAGATCACTTGAAACTCAAGGGCGTGACTCTACAAGATGCATAATACACAATTTGTTTTTGTTTTTTTTTGTTTTTTGTCGCCAAAAGACGAGTGGTTCTGACATCAACACGTCAGCCCTCAAGTTTCAAGGGCAGCCGTCTCTAGAGTTTCGTGTAGGGGTTGTGGAACGAAAAATCAACTTAGGGTAAATTAATCACGATCCCCAGGTAAGGGCGCCCTTACAATGTAAGGATTCTTAGTGGTGTGGAACGAGGCCCTTTTTCTTTCCCTTTTTGGTAGCTGTTCTTTTTTGTCTAATTTGGTAGCCGATTTTACGCCTTGGCTCCAGCACTCACCAGATGTGCAAAATAAGAACAGAAGATACACCGCTGTTGTTTTTCATGGGGGTAGCCTTGTGAGTGCAAGGGATTAGGGCATGCTCTGGGAAGAGTGGAAGACGCCCCACTGTTGTTTTTCTTGGGGGTAGCCTCGTGAGTGGAAGGGATTAGGGCATGGAGGGAACACAATCAGAGAGTACGGCCTACCGGCCAGTTTTTTTCAGAGAAAACAATTGCAGAAGCATAGGAAAGAGAAGGAAAGTGAAGGAGGAGAGATTGCGATAGTAAGAGAGAGAGAGAGAGAGAGAGAGAGAGAGAGAGAGAGAGAGAGAGAGAGAGAGAGCACAGACAAAAAGCCATGGAAGGATACAAGCGAATGGAAATGGCACTCAAAAAAGATACGACAATATGTGAACTAAGGGGCTCGTTAGACACTCCCTGGGGCGTCCTCGGG